TACGGAAGCTGCGAATTGGCCTCATAATCATCCAGATGATCTTCTAGTGTAGTCCGAGGATTAATTGGCTACAACAAGACATAATAACCAGTAAATGTTTAAAGTAAACATGCATAGCAAGACCTTCGGTAATAATTAATATGGTACATAAACAACGTTAGATTACTTCAGCAAAGAGCATGGAGCTGAGATACTTAATCATCTCTCTGAGGCTGATAAAGTTAATGTGTAGGTAAAAGTGTTAAACTGCTCTTGAACTAAAAAAACATGAGGTTTAAATGATTAACTCTTCTAAATCAGATTAAATAGCTTGGAGTTTGGGTTAAATATCAGTACTTAGTACTTTTGGATCAAATTGATACAGGAGTCTGCATGCTAAACTAGCTGGTTAACTAACTAGGCTGATGAATGTGATAAGCAGAAGAGGTGTAATGTCATATTTTAACAGGGTTTTTAATGAATATATTACTGAAGAAATGATGCAAAGTGAGGTGCAGTTACAAAAATCTCAAGTGCTAAAAAGTACAAAAAAAATTGTGCTTTATTTTAATGTACAAATCCAGTGCTTTGTTCCACTTTCTCTCTAATGGCTTCTTCAATGTTTCCTGTCTATGTGGTTGTCTGTGTGTGTGTGTGTGTGTGCAGACTGAGGAGTATGGTCAGGAGGCTACTGAGGAGCAGATGGGGGAGGCAATGGTGGATCCAGAGGGAGAAGCATACGATGAGAATCAGCAGGTAGAACATAATAAACACACACACACACACACACACACACTCTTAACGCTGGTGAAGACAGGAAAGGGCAAAACGTTTGTCTTTTAACTATGAAAAATATACTGCGATAACGCTGCTGATTAAAAATGGTAGTTCAGAAGCCAAAGGGATAATAAAATTAAATCCAGGCATTCTCTTTTTTCTTTTTTTTTTTTTAAAGAGAGCTGGTATTTTACCGTAACAAGAGGTGAAGTGATGAGGTTGATGACGCAAAGTGGGAGGGGCATGAAACACGAAAACGTTCAACAGAGTTTGATTAATACAACTGTGAATTTAATGGATAGGGTGGTGAGGGCTCTTTTTACTCTTTTACTCTATAACATTGTTCTTTCTTTCTTTCTTTCTTTCTCTGTCATCCTTTTTCTTCTCCCAAGATGTCTCTCTTACTCCCTTTCTTAACTCCCTCTGTATTTTTCTTTCTCTCTCTTTCTCTCTCTTTCTGTCTCCCTGCCCCCGCATCTCTTTCTCTCCATCATTACCTCACTGTCGTGCTGCATGGGCGTGGCTGTGACGCCAAACAGCCAGATGGATTGTGGGTATTTGTAGACAGATCCCCCCTCCAATTCCTCCCTATAAAATGGATTCTCCCTGTAGCTTGTGATCATGTGACCACTGACATGTTTGCTGTCATAGAAGGCCACAGTCACATGATGCTCTCCTTTTTTTCCCTTTTTACTCCATTCTGTAACGTTACAAGGAGAGCACAGAAATGGCGTCCTGGTTCATCTGAAGGCTCATCCTGCCCCCTGCTGCAGGAACGGAGAAAAATACACTCAGATATAATGAAGTGTGTAACAAAACCATGGGAGTGGATCAGAATGATAATTACGTAGTATGATATTCATGCAACTCAATACATCACAGTCTTCAGTACATCACAGTGTCTGCTTACAGCTTCACATTTTCACATTGAATATGACAGAACAGCAGTGATGTAAGGCTTTAATTATTCAATGAGAAGAACCGCTAAAATATTTATTATTAAATTTAAGATGATCGCTCTTCATCTTTTTGATTACCGTTTTTTTCCTTCTTACATCTTTGTGATGCCGTGATGTCTACCAGTATAGCATACCATTAGCATGATATTTAACCGGATCTCCTTTATGCCACAGCGCTGTTGAATACTCGATTCTGATTGATCAGTAGGTGTTGATTAGTTTTCTGTAACAGCAGCTCTGACAGTACTGCAGCTTCAAATGTGCTCATTCTAAAACTTTATCATTTCTGTTTCTCGCACAGGGACTTGTATAGCAAACACTAACACAATTTAATCTAACAATAAACTGAGTAAACTAAGTGTTGTTTTTTTAACAAAGAAACACACACAATTGTAGAAATATGTATAAATGATGAAGGTTTCTGTAAGAAAACTTTTATTTAACATTTATGGATTGAGTCTCCGGTGTCAGCACAGATAGGACAGTTGCACTCGGCAGTTTCACAGTAACAAGACAAGATGTTTTTTTTTGTCTCATTAATTTCAAGAGACAGAAAGAAAATGAGAGACTGTTTTACCGTTAAACAAGAGCCAACTCAAAGTAGAGGATAGCAGAGTTCTATAGTGTTTTAATTAGAAAATAGTACACACAGCGTATAAAAAATACACTCACCGAGGTAGAAGAGAAGAGATGACGTGAGATGAGATGGGATCGGATGAGATAAGATCCCCAGCTTTAGAGGACAGGTTTCCTGTTACTCTGATCGTAGATCAAGACAGTTCCATATAAAGTACATGTGCTCAAACGTGTGTATGGGGTGAGTAGAAGAAAGGGAAAGATGGCTGTCTGACAGCCATATTTTTGCAATAAGTCACTTTGTGACTTTGTTGGAAGGTATAAACGAGTGCACAACATGTGCACCAGAAGGTTTCCAGGTGATTCTCACTGCAATGCATAGCGCACTGCGTTATACAGAGTTCATAGAAGCACAGTTTCATATGGAACTAGCATTTATAGCTGCTATAAGTGATATACAGGTCTAACTCATTATGCAGATGTTCCACAACATTAACTGTAACTATAAATGGATAGAAAAGTATGATGTGTTGTTCTTTATTAGATCCAAATGTGTAATCATTGACAAATTCCTGTGGTATAAGCAGAATAAAACACTTTGATATATGTAGTTATAGGAAAGGCTGGTAACAGGCCGCATCACACAACTCCAAATTCACTGTTGGATTATTTTTCACCCCATCAAGTTTTATTTCTTATATCTCATATTATACTGTGTATCTACAGTATGTCCGAACATACAGTAGGTTACACTGTGACTATAGATTGTATACATCTAATTCATAGTTAATCTGTTTTTGTTAACTGTAATTTCTGTTTAATAAATGATATAACTTGTGATTAATAACCAACGTTCACAGTAGAATGTGCTATCTATTGCTACTATCTAATATCTAAATGTCTAGACTGATGAGTGTTATTAAGACATACGTCAAAACCTTTGGGAGTGTTAAAGTGATAGCACAGCTCATCATAGGAGTTTACATTAAAACGTGAACTTCAAAGAACCAGTCTGCTGAAACACAACTTTACGGAAAAGAAATTAGCTCAGTAATACACAATAACTGCATTTCAGCAAATCCCTGAATCAGTAATTTAGCAACGTAGGTGTTTAAATCACGCTCAAGCGCCTGGTGATATTTTTATTCTGTTTCTGTGGGAAGCTATAAAATGCATGGTTAGGTAATATGGAGTCAGTTTTATGTGAACACAACCACTGAAATTGTAGTTTTATTTTATGTTTTGTAAATGTGTGTGCCTTCCTAGGTTGTAATGTCACACAGTAATAAGCAAATACAGTAAGTTACATGAAGTAAATGTCATATTTCAGTGACTCCTTAATAAATCGCTTCTAAAATAGTCACTAATTAAATGCAAAATATCAAAATGCACAAATATCAAAAAAATTTAAAATATCAAAAGTACCAGTATAAAGATTTGGATTTTTGTTGAATGGAGTCTTGGCTTCTACATGCGTTCATATTTTGTATTTATTATTTTGTACATAGTTCTTGATCAGGATTTCTTCTGTTTCCTGTCAGGAGCAGACCCAGGACTACGAACCTGAAGCATAAAGCAACCATTCCAACTTCAGCTTCAACCAGCAGCACAATAATGTTTCTATCAATAAGAAGGACAAATGCTGAACTCATCCCAATAAACAAAAGAAAACAAAAAAAATACAGTTATTCCTGCTGAACCATGTTCTTCCTATCAGATCTCTCTATAAATATATAAATATAAATAAATATAAATATACTTTTATTATGATCTATTGTAAATGTCCTGTAGCGTGGTGAGTATAGTTTTCTTTATTGACTGCAGGGCGAAGCCTTGTCTCGTTTCCTTGATTCCCTCCCAATGAAACGCGACCCACTCGCCCATTGTGGCTCTTTGTGCCTGTGTATATGTGTTTCTATTTGTGTAATAGATGTTTCTGATCTTCCAATGCCATATTGGGGGTGAACAAAAAATATATATATATTCGGGTATACATATAAATATATATATATTATGTAGAGCTGTGTATGATGCCTGTATGTGGGTATTTATTTTCTTTTTCATTTAATATCAAAGCAAGTTATTTTAACGTTTTTCAGGTAAGAGTTTTATACATTGTAACTTTATAGTTGCTTGTGATATCATTCCAGTGAACTCTCTGTTAAAAAAAATGGGCAGTTTGTATGTGTTTGTGTGTTTGTGAGCGTGCGTTTGTGTACTGAAGATTTTAAAGTCAGTGTAAAAGTGTCTTGAAAACGTTTATGGGTGTCGGAATAGTGCTTGACAATGCTGGAAATGTCGATATAAAGGTTTCTGTGTCACGCAAGGCAAGCAAATCATCTGTAAATAAATAAATAAAAACAAAAAAGTCATAAGGTTATCCTAAGACTGTTTTGTACAGTATGCCACAAACTAGCATCCCGCCACAGTTTGTTTTCTGTCTACAGACCTCCAGATTCAATGTATGAAATGTTTAATAATTCACAGTTAAATCCATTATGACTGCCTGGATAGTGTGGAGCTCCTCAGAAGCCCCTGTATTAGGTAGTGTTAGCAAGTGGTGGAAGTCAGGGATGTCAAACATACAGCCCAAGGGCCAAGACCAACTTGATAAAGTTTCTAATCCAACCCATCAAATAAATTTATAAAATTGTCTTGTGGACCATAATTGAATTGAATGATTAAAAAAAAAAAACCAAGCTCATTGGGGGCAAGGTGACTTAGTGGTTAGTACTGTTGCCTCGCACTTCTGGGGTTGGGGGTTCAAGTCCCACCTCTGCCCTGTGTGCACGGAGTTTCCATGTTCTCCCCGTGCTTCGGGGGTTTCCTTTGGGTACTCCGGTTTCCTCCCCCAGTCCAAAGAAATGCGTTGTAGGCTGATTGGCATCTAAATTGTCCATTGCATGTGTGTGTGTGTGTGATTCTGCCCTGTAATGGCACCTTGTGCCCCAAGTCCTCTGAGATAGGCTCCAAGCTCCCCCGTGACCCTGTGTAGGATAAGCAGTACAGAGAATGGATGGATGGATGGATGGATGGAACAAGCTGATCTTGGTTATTCCACTAGGGGGCAACATAGAGCAATAAACATAGCTACTGAGATAATTGTTCATTAGCAAGATAAATATTTAACATATAATCCCAATTATAAAAAAGGTCATGGGGGTGAATATTTATGCAAAAAGAATGTTTTGTTAGTAATGATTTAATGTCTGTCTATCTGTTCAGTAGGTGATATATGTTCAGTCCATTTGTGCATTCAGAATATATCAATGAACACATTTAAGAGGAGCTAAATTAAGTTAGTTGATTTTAGGCACTAACTTTTTTTTGTTTTTTTGTTTTTGTTTTTTTGTTTTTGTCCAGCCCACTTTACATTGGACTAAGTGTCATGGCTCAATACCTAAAATGAGTTTTAAACCACTGATCTACCATATCTCTAACAATCTTATTTAAGAAATGTGGACAAATGGAAGGGGCATTACTAAGACCATATGGCATGACAAAATATTCATAACTTCCTATTATCTAATTCAAATGTGGATATAAGCTCAGTGGAAATAGTAGTACTGTGGATTTGTTCTAGGGTTAATGAGATAGAAACACACAAACTGCCCGAGGTTCTATAGTCTATAAATAGACAAAATTCTTTCTAGGGAGAAGAAACTAGACACTGAAGTAAAGGTTTAAAATTATACTCAGCTTCAAGGCTTTCTCTATGTATTTGACTGTGTAAGAAAGTTCTATTTTGGTGCATAGTACTTACTTGTAATTGGACAGGAAGTGTTTGCTGTATAATATTACTGATGGCTATGGATTGTCCATCTACAGTCATGACTTAATTAAAGGATAGAGAGGTACTCTGAACCAGGAAACCACATTCTTGAAGTTGTCTCCAGCCCCCAAGTCCACTGGGCCTGAAACACAAACTGACAGTATGGTAAACTGTTTCAACTAAGAGATGTCTTTTGCATTTTTTTAACCAGATAGAGATGTTTGTCCTAACTGCCAAACCTCTAGATGAGTTTTTCGGCACTTGTAGAACACAACATATACACTCACTTTATAAGAAACACCTTTATCTGTTCTCACTTTATTACCCCCGCTCATTCATGCAATTATCCCATCAGCCAATCAGGTGGCAGCAGCACAACGTGCAAAATCATGCAGATACAGGTCAAGAGCTTCAGTTAAAGTTCACATCAAACATCAGAATGAAGAAAAAATCTCGGTGACTTTGACCGTGGCATGGTTGTTGGTGCCAGACTGGCTGGTTTGAGTATTTTAGAAACTGCTGATCTCCTGCAATTTTCACACACAGCAGTCTCTAGAGTGTACATGGAAAACTCTGTGTAAGTAAATTACCTAAATTGCCTAATCCTGGCTCATCCTATCAGGAGAAAGTGGACAAAATGAGTTTTTTAGTTCTCAGAACTACACCTTGGATCAATATACAGTTTTTGCATTGTGTTAAAAAGCTGGTGGTTTATTAGGCAGCCCAGTGTACATTGTATCTTCTTTCGCTCTCTCTCCATCATAAACAGGATGTGTAGCTGCTGAGAGAGGCAGATTGCGTTCATTCCTCCTGTAAGCCTCTTCTCATTGTCACTGTGTGTGTAATCAGGCGGGAGAGTGAGGGGTTTAACTGCCCCCCTTCACCACACTGGGGTATTAAAAGGGGTGTCTCTGCCCCAGACTCTACTCTTCCCTTCACACACATGCCATGTGGGTCGATGAGAGCCTCCTCTGAGGAACATGGCCTCCTTTAAGAAGTCTCTGGAGGAGCTGAAGAGCACCACGCAGTCAGCCACTAAAAATGTTGCTGACTCCGCAGGTACTACAACTTCCATCAGATTCACACACACACACACGTTTTGTTTCTTCTTATTAATTTTTTTTCTTGTAATTGTTCCATATGTCCACAGAAAGCTTATAAAAATAAGAATAAATGTGCAAAGAAAAATATCTGACTTCTCATAGGGTTGTTTTGTAGCTAATTCTCACTAACGTAATATACTTTTCAATGTATTCTTAGTCATTTTGGAAAAACTGCTTAACTTGAGCATTCTGTATTTCATTATGGAGCTCAGTTCAGCATGTTTCATTTGTTTCATGTGATTTCAGTGCAAACAGCTCAAGACGCTGTGCACCAGGTGGCAGAGTCATCCAAAGAAACCACCAGCATGGGTAAGAGAGAGAGAAAATGATAGAGAGAGAGATAACGAGTGCCATGGAGCAAGCACAGCATTTTGGACTCTGTGTATTTTCATTATGTACAAGTGGGCATACTTTTACTTCAACATGCATATCTTCATATCTGTGTGTGTGTGTGTGTGTGGGTGGGTGTGTATAGCCGCTGAGGAGGTGTCCAGACAAACACAGTCTGCTATCGGCACAGCAGCAGACAAAGCCTCAGAGACCATAAAGGAATTCGGACACAAACTGGGGACCAAGTAACACCACTGAAAAAGCTGATATTTATTTTTAACCTGATATTTTATTTCTCATCAGGACAAATGATAAAACAATGAACGACCCTTTTCTCTAAATGTTATGTCTGGAATTAGCATGTTCATCTGAAACAATAAAAGATAAGACTTTCATGTGTCTAAATCATTGATGAACCCATAAACCTAGTTTGCAATTTAGAGCGCTGATTGCTCTATTAAATATTCAGAGTGTGTTTGCTCAGGCAATGTGCACCCAGTGAGACCTTCAATGGCTCGTGATGAAAATTTATGAGTTAGGAATGTCACCATAGCCTACACTGGTGTGTTTTTCACACACCCTCTGAGCTTCATCTCTCTCTCTCTCTCTCTCTCTCTCTCTCAGTGGTATCATCCATTTTTATTGTCTGTAACCCAAGTAATTGTCTTTCGATGGTCAATGGATGAGTATTCAAAGAGAAGTGGTGATGCGTGGCCATGGCAACAAAAAAGAGGTTTCACTCATAATGCTTCAGGTCCTGTCCAAGCATATATGGATTTTTTTTTTTTTTAACTTTTTTTTCTGAAAACAGCATAAACTTTAAAAAAAAAAAACTGTTTGAAAATTTGAAAACTTTTCACTGATGGGGAAATGTGGGTTTGGACAAATCAGTAGCAAATCAGTGTTTTTTTATTCATAGTTGCCTGGAAGACAAGTTCATTCAACAACCAGAAAAATCTCTACTTCTTATTGACTTCCACAAAACAAACGCTTTCATTTGGTGTGTATGTTTAAACTTAATGCCCTTCATGGTGGTGTGATGCACATGGATGCTGTCAGTATAGTATAAGCTAGTCATTTTGAGTCCCTCCGCTTGCTGCACTACGCACATCAGCCGAGTCACAATCTGGCTGATGTTTTTTACGAGTTGGATTAATTAGCGTGCATGGATGACAGACGATCTTTACAGCAATCAGGAACACACAGGTATGTGTAAACACTGATGAAACCAAGCAAAATAAAGTCCAGCACAGTCACACCTCAGTTAAACATAATATCAAATGATACGTTTTACAGAGCACCAATAAAACATACTAACTTTTTGTTAAGCTCCCAAACAGGATGAACCATTAGGAAACTTTGTTAGAAGGGGATCATGATCATCAGTGCCACTAGCATGGAGGGATAACCAGGGAAGCTGTCTCGGGAGGGTTTAGTACTCACTTGACATTCAGTATAAGACTGTCTGAAATATGTCGATTTGATCAAACTGTGATGGTCAGAACTGTAGGCCTATGCAACTTTGCAAGTGCAATTTTATGAAATGGTTTGGTCTGCTGTGTTTTCTTTGTAAGAGCTTCCACACCCACTAAAACTTTCCTGGCATTATCTCATGTGTCTTTCTATTAGTTACTTTTGTTCATGTAAGCTTGCTAAGATGATGCAGTCAGGAGCACAAAAAAGAAAAGAAAAAGAGACTGACTATATGTGTAAAGAATATTGAATATCTGTATAAACCCTGTTGTGAGACTAAGACTGTTGTGTGTGAGGAGGTCAGCAGTTTCTGAAATCTGGCACCAACAACCATCACAGCCAAAGTCACTGAGATCACATTTTTCCTCATTCTGATGAACTGAAGCTCTTGGCCTGTATCTGCATGATACATTTTGATCAGTGTGTGGATTATGCTGCTGCCACATGATTGGCTGTTTGGATAATTGTATGAATGGCAGGTGTTCCTATTAAAGCGACCGATGAGTGTATGTGACACAACCAACACTATGAAAGTTGAAAAAAAACCAACATCACCATGGTGCTCAAGTCTTAGGTTTGCATTTCTCACTGGCTCATTATTGAGGCTTCTTCACCTCCTCCTCATTCTCTCTCTCTATCTTTTCTCTTCCCTCCCACTCACCCCCCTGCATCATGTCTTTCTCCTTATCCTGTGTATAATCACTGATGAAAATTTCTTCCCAGTTATTTAGTGGCTTTTGATGGGTTTTTTTTTGCACACACCCCCATAAACATACACCCACACACACCTCCATCACCATCGCCGCTTACCAAGCCAGTGATACCGACATCCACACGGCACGTTGCTAGGCAACAGAGTTGTGTAAGACCTGGAACTGGTTTGTGAGAGGTTCCAGACTAAGAATCGTGTTTTTACACCCACACAGAAGAAATTCTCAGATCAAAGAATCATCTGTATTCGTTGTTCAGCCAGTAACAGAATCACAACGCAACACACACATGAACCATGGCTATTTTGTGATGTTGGATGGCTCTTCATAGATTGATCCATATTGTTCCTAAATAATGACTGATTGATAAAGAATAAACAAGCTACTGTTTCAC